CTCATTTATCACCATTACAACAATCTAAAAAGTTAATCCTCATGAAGCCCCAGTGTTATCATCAATATCCAATTCCATTCTCAATATATTACTCTTTTCTACCCTCCATCACTGCATAACTGGTGCAGGTCATAATAGTATTATCCCAGCTAACAACATGCTGAATAAACCACCTAATTCACATTAACATACTGTCTCAAGCTTGCTAAAACCAACATTGGAACAAATTACCACATAATTTATGTATTTATTCAAATATAACGGAATATAATAACAGTTTTGGAAAATAAGAAAGAGGTTCACCACTTCAGAGGTTAATAGTTCTTCATGTTAGTCTAAACTCTAAATTTACCACAAATAAAAAACTAAGTTTTTTCCAGCTAAGAAAACAAAAACATGAGCTAGTTGCATACAGTTCATGGTGGACACTCAAATCAGGGTAGAGCAATCAGTAAATCATGGATTAGGATCCTTAACTCCTTATAGATTCTGATATGAAATCTTGAATTTGAAACTTACAAATAAATTGCGATCCAAATGTAAAAGGAATTTATAGACTATTTCGAATAGGCTAATTGCATGATATAACATTATGTTTTACAAAATCCATTGTTATATGCAAAAACCAAAACCAAAGCGGTATACTTTCAAAGCCGGAAAAGAGACATGGCCACAATCAAAATTGTTGCAACTCACACAGGGGAGAATTTTCGGGTATATTTCTTAATCAAGCTGGTAAAATAAGCAAATAAAAATAAAAATTGAAAGAGATGGAATAACCTGTCACGAACTTGGAGCTGCTCAATCATGGCGGCCATTCTAAGCTTATCTGCTTCAGGAAGTGAATCCAAATCTCCAATCATACTCTTATCCATCTTGATTCCTCAATTTGATTCACCACGGTATGCAACTTTGGTTGTGTTTGGGGAAGAACAGAGGTATAAGCAGCCACTGGTTAAAGGGGAAAATGGTGAACTTATATCTAAAACCCTAATCGGGGTACGAGATTGGCAAACCCAAGTGTCATTTCGACCCTCTTTACTTTTTCAAATTATAGTTACACCCCTCGTAAGAGTTCGAATTGCAAATCATAAAAGGGTACTTTAGACATTTTCCCTAAATTTTGCAATAATTTTAAGAGTCGTTTCGTGTGAGATATAAAATATAATAATCTCAAGAATTTCTACCTTACGAATATAAAGTTGTTTTTTGACATTCTAAAACACTTGTTTTGTATCTGATTGAAACATCTGTGGATCAGTTCTGATATTTTGCTTTGGAGCTATGTAATGCTTTCTATTACATCCAAATTAGGCACATTTTTTCCTGTTAGGGATGAATGCAGTAGTCTTAAAATACAAATTCACTTGTGAAGGTACTATAAATTTAAGAATGAATAATGTTAAATGGCCAGAAAATTTGATAAGAATTTGATAAGAATTTTAAAAAAACTATAATATTTTTTTTATTTTATAACAAACTAATCTTTTTTTCATTTTTAGTTAAAAGATATTAAAGTTCAAAGAGTAAAAATATTTTAAAAAGTAAAATAACATAGGTAAAATATAATTCTGTCTAAATTCTAGCCAAAAGGATTTTTCCTTTAAATATTTAAAGGATAAAATCGATCGACAACTTCGATTTAGTGGATTACTATATGTAAAAATCAATATCAAAAAAGCTAAATCATTAAATAAAAATATTCAACTGAACCAAATAAAAACCTTTTGTTCGTATGATCGTTACATATCATTTCATAATATGTTATCTTGATAAATATAGCATTTCAATAGATTGTATTATTTTTTCAATATTACATAGTGTCAAGCATGAGCAATTTGAAGAACAAATTTACCAAAAAAGTAGAGTACGAGTTAAAACTATTATTACTTAAAAAAATACTAGGATAAATAATAAAACATCATTATTAGATAATACGCAAAAAAAGAAGATTAACAATGCACACCAAATCAACTTTTATGTAACAATAACTCTAGCCATACGATATAATTAAATTTAAATAACAACTAAAACAAACATTACATTTAAATTAACAAAATACGATACAACAATATCAATACAAAAAGGGGAAAACAGCTTTTCTATTCTTAGGATAATCTTCTCCAAATTTCTCCACGTACCATTTATGATTCGAAACAGCTTGAGGAACCAAATTAGCACACGTGTACACAAAAAACGCAAGCCCGGCCCAAGACCAGGTAATCAAAGCCCAGCCCAACCATTCCATTATCTCTCCCAAATAATTTGGGCTGCTCACATAATCAAAAAGCCCACCTCTCGGTATCTTGTATCCACCTCCTTGACTCTTCAGGCCCAACAAAACCCCATCGGCCCAAATATTCACCACCATACACGACCCGAATAAGCCCAGCCCAATACCAAACCTAACCCAAAACGACTCGTCTTCTTCGCAGTTAGCGTAATGAGAAACCCATCTGCTCTGTATGTAAGCATTCAGTAAATTGAAAATAAAAGCCGTAACTGCAATATTCAGCGGGAAATTGTTCTTTGTGCTTCTGCTACGGAGGTGAAGAGGGTAAATGATTGTTCGATTTATGTAGTGGAAGAGGTAAGGTGAAATTAGGATAAAAGCTAATGGATTTGTGTAATTTTTCCCCAATCGAAATACGATAAATGTGAGCCAAAGCGTAGGGCTTTCCATGAAAGCCCACGCGATTGGCGGAGAAATAGCGGTACCTGAATCAGCTGAAGTGTAGTGTTTGCCGTAAGAAGAAGTGACGAATTGACATAAGATGAAGGTGGGAAACGCCATAACAAGAATGAAGAAAACGATGAAGTTAAAGAGATTTTCATCTGAAGAGAACATGGTGTCTACTGGAGTAGCTTGCTTATTTTGCTTTAAGCTAAAAGTGTGGTTTATACAAGTAGGAAGATTTTTTTTCAAGTGTGAAAAATGGGATGGCTAGACTTTTAAAGCACGTTTTATATGGTGTTCGGACGTACATATAGTGTACAATTATTTTTTTCGTCTCAATTTATATAAGTTAGTTTGTATTAATATATAAAATAAAAAAAAGGAATCGTCTTATTTTAGAATAGGATTACCCCCCGCCCCCCGGGGGATCTGGGGTTCACATTTTAATAATCAATAAATAGGTGTAAGCTTCCATAGACTTGCAAATATAGTATAAATAATAAAATAAATTATTAAATGATGAATAAAGATAAAAATAATAATGTAATTAAATCAAATCACTTATTACAAAAAATAAAATGTTCAATCATTATCTAACAATATATTATAATAAACTTTGTTGTTACCTATCGTATTTGTTAATTAACACATTATATTTATTATAAATGTTCAATCATTATCTAACAATATATTATAATAAACTTTATATAATAATTTATAATAAATATAATGTGTTAATTAACAAATATGATAGGTAACAATTATCCAAACTAGGTGTTAAATGGGAGATGAAATAATTTGATGGACCCTTATACATGTATGCGTTTGTATTCTAAATCCTTCTACTTAACATTTTATCAACTAAATCCCTAAACTCATTAAAACACAATATTTTCAAAAGTTGAACTTTATAAAATGGTAGATTTGCAACCTTTTTTTAGTTTTTTCTTTAAATAGATTGTTTTTAGTATTCTATTCATTTTATTTTACGTAGAGATATTTGAGTAATAAGATCAAATCTCTTATTTTTCTTTTGTATGAAAAATAGAATTAAAAAATTTCCGTTTATGAATTGTTAACCGCCAAAGAAGGAAACACAACATATTTAAGTCATTAGCAGCAATTATACGTATCATTTTATCTTCTATTGAATAAAATTAGAAATTTATGTTTTTAATCATTAATTTTATTTTGAATCGTTGAGGTGATTGTTCTTTTCATAATAATTTGAAGAAAAATTAGCGGGGATAAAGAAACAACTTAAAAATAGGTTAAAAATTTAATTTCGTAAAAAAAAACTATGTTACTATAAACATAAGCTATTTGTATTTAAAAATGAACAAAGATCAAACCTAATAAAATTTTAGTTCTTAAATATTTAAAAGACTAAAATCTGTAAGTGTAAAATTAATGGACCAAAATTGATAAGTTTTTAAATATTTAAAGGACTAAAATATAATTAAAATAACAAAACTGATAAAATTTTAAATATTTAAGGGACTAAAATCGATAAAATATATAATTAAAGAACCAAAACTGATAAAAAATTTAATAGTTCAAAAACTAAATTAGATAAAAATATAATTAAGAGACTATTTTAAATTTACTCATATAATTGAGGGACTATTTATTTATAAGAGTATAATAAAAGTCCCTTATAAATCGGTAAGCGTGCGTCAAGCTCGTTAAATAAGGTACGGACCATGATTAATACTCGAGGCCAGAGGGACAGCTTGTCTGGTAGATTTCTGTACATTTGTTCACATGCATCTAAAAGTTAATAATTTTTTGTTTTATTAGTTTTAAAAAGAATAATATAACCTCCCTCCATTCATTTTTATATGTTATTCGTTGCTATAAATAATTGGATCATAATACTTATCATTTCATAAAATCAATATATAAATTATCATGTTCTTTCTATTATATCTTTGATAGAGTAGTTAATTAGTTTTGAAAATATATATTTTGACCAACTTTAAAAAATTAATAAGTAATTAATATTCATTGAAATACTTTATACATTGATTAATTACTCTCTCCATTCACTATTATATAAAATCTGATTTTGAAAATAAATTCAAAAATTTATCAAAGCAATGGTACAAGCCTGCTTTCTTTTGGTTGAGCGTTACCTTAAGGGGACACCTTTGTCAAAATCTGAGCGAGGAACACTAAGGAGCCGTTTGGTTACTATATAAGTCGCATTTTATCCATGTTTAAAAAGTTGCATTACTTTTACCATATTTAGTAGAAATTTTGTATTAGGTGGAAAAGTCAACATAACTTATATCATGTTTGGTTGGTAGAATTCTAAATGTTATATAAAAGTTATTCATGTATTAATTTTATCAATACAAAAAGGGGAAAACAGCTTTTCTATTCTTGGGATAATCTTCTCCAAATTTCTCCACGTACCATTTATGATTCGAAACAGCTCGAGGAACCAAATTAGCACACGTGTACACAAAAAACGCAAGCCCAGCCCAAGACCAGGTCATCAAAGCCCAGCCCAACCATTCCATTATCTCTCCCAAATAATTTGGGCTGCTCACATAATCAAAAAGCCCACCTCTCGGTATCTTGTATCCACCTCCTTGACTCTTCAGGCCCAACAAAACCCCATCGCCCCAAATATTCACCACCATACCCGACCCGAATAAGCCCAGCCCAATACCAAACCTAACCCTAAATGACTCGTCTTCTTCATAGTTAGCGTAATGAGAAACCCATCTGCTCTGTATGTAAGCATTCAATAAATTGAAAATAAAAGCCGTAACTGCAATATTCAGAGGGAAATTGTTCTTTGTGCTTCTGCTACGGAGGCGAAGAGGGTAAATGATTGTTCGATTTATGTAGTGGAAGATGTAAGGTGAAATTAGGATAAAAGCTAATGGATTTGTGTAATTTTTCCCCAATCGAAATACGATAAATGTGAGCCAAAGCGTAGGACTTTCCATGAAAGCCCACGCGATTGGCGGAGAAATAGTGGTACCTGAATCAGCTGAAGTGTAGTGTTTGCCGTAAGGAGAAGTGAAGAATTGACATAAGATGAAGGTGGGAAATGCCATAACAAGAATGAAGGAAACGATGAAGTTAAAGAGATTTTCATCTGAAGAGAACATGTTGTCTACTGGAGTAGCTTTGCTTATTTTGCTTTAAGCTAAAAGTGTGGTTTATATAACTAGATGACTGTTTTTCAAGTGTGAAAAATAGGATGGCTAGACTTTTAAAGCACGTTTTATATGGTGTTCGGACGTACATATAGTGTATAACTATTTTTTTCGTCTCAATTTATATAAGTTAGTTTGTATTATTAAAAAACAATTAAAAAAAGAAATCGTCTTATTTTAGAATAGGAATACCCCCCTCCCCCCAGGAGATCTGGGGTTCACATTTTAATAATCAATAAATAAGGTGTAAGCTTCCATAGACTTGCAAATATAGTATAAATAAAAAAATAAATTATTAAATGATGGATAAAGACAAAAAGAATAATGAACTGTTAACCGCCAAAGAAGGAAACACAACATATTCAAGTCATTAGTAGCAATTATATGTGTCATTTTATCCTCTATTGAATAAAATTAGAAATTTATATTTTTTAATTATTAATTTTATTTTGAATCGTTGAGGTGATTGTTCTTTTCATAATAATTTGAAGAAAAATTAACGAGGATAAAGAAACAACTTAAAAATAGGTTAAAAATTTAATTTCGTAAAAAAAAACTTTGTTACTATAAACATAAGTTATTTGTATTTAAAAATGAACAAAGATCAAACCTAATAAGTTCTTAAATATTTAAAGGACTAAAATATAATTATCAAAACTGATAAAATTTTAAATATTTGAGGGACTAAAATCGATAAAATATATAATTAAAGAATCAAAACTGATAATTTTTTTTATAGTTCAAAAACTAAATTAGATAAAAATATAATTAAGAGACTATTTTAACTTACTCCTATAATTGAGGGACTATTTATTTATAAGAGTATAATAAAAGCCTTATAAATCGGTAAGCGTGCGTCAAGCTCGTTAAATAAGGTACCTACCATAATTAATACTCGAGGCCCGAGGGACAGTTTGTCTGGTAGATTTCTGTACATTTGTTCACATGCATCTAAGAGCTAATAATTTTTTGTTTTATTAGTTTTAAAAAGAATAATATAACCTCCCTCCATTCATTTTTACGGAAAATATAATTGGCAAGATAGATTTTTGGCACGAAATGACTTGAGAAATAAAAATCAGTTATTTTCGTAATTTTGGTGAAAAGTTAAGGATAATTGGGTAAATTTATTTATTTCGTATATCTAAATTACCCTCAAAAGTAAAACCACTTTTAAGAAATTTTTTATTATGTTCAAGGACTTATTACGTGTCAGACAATACTTGTATGAGATCCTTTCATATTTTGCCAGGTGGAAATTGGGTCCCACTAAAAAGAAGAAGCTAAAAGGCTCAATTTCTTTATTATTTTTCTCCAATTCCATATCTTCTTCTTCTTTTCCGTTTCTTTTTGTAATTTTATTATTTTTCGTATTAATTAGTTTATTTTTAACAAATGCTGAAATTTAATTATTTTTAGTAGAATTGGCCGTGATTTAGTTTGGATAGTTTTTTATTAAATAAATTAATTTGATTATTGAAATGTTGAAATTAAGTCAAATTAATTAAGTTGATCTTTTTATCCCTTTAATTTTTTTATTTTTTTTCTATTTGGTTTTGATCGATAATTTGAGTTTTCAAACGTTGAAATTAAGTCAAATTAATTAAGTCAATTTTTTTATCACTTTAATTTTTTATTTTTTTTTCTATTTGGCTTTGGTCGATTAGAATATATATGATAATGTAAGAAATTGATCTAATTATATATAGGATCCTTCAAAAAATGTATGCATTATCTAAGAAATTAATTATTTCTAAGAAATATGATAAATTTGTTCCAACGATTTTATTTTTTTTACAAAAAATTAAAAATTTAGTTGTGATATACTATGTCTTGATGATGCTTGATTTAAATAAAAATAATCAAAGACATAAGTTATTTTGAACATGAAAATTCATTCTTGATATTCTTAAAATAAAATATAAATTAAAATACGAAGTAAATGCAAATAACTTGATTATTATAAAGAGAAATACATGAATAGAACAAAGAATTTTTTTTTAAAAAATATTTATAACATTTTTAAATTTTTTATATATGATGATAAAAGTTATATTAAAAAATCAATGTATAATCTTTTATAAACAAACACAAAACAAAATATCTAAATTCTCATATTTCGTATATATCATTCTATAAAATACGTACAGAAAAAGAAAAGGTTCAAGAAATTAATACGCAAAATTTTACGATTTTTTTATTTGTAATTTCATTACCTTCAATTTGTTCCATTTCATTCAAAAATTAATTCGAAATTTTCTCGCCACATTCACTTTATTTTTTCTCTCAAATAAATAATACCGTAAAATAAGCATATTATACATTTTGGGTAAGTCTTAAAAATTCTTTATAACTCTGACAAATGAAGTAACGTAGAGGAGGAAAAAAGAAAGTCAAAGGATTTTTTTTTAAATGAATGAAAAAGAGTAAGGAGATGAAAGAAACTGAAATAGTTAAGGTATGGGTCCCATTTGTACATTTGACAGCCAACAAAACCTCATACAAGTGGTTTTCTTTTTTGGAGGGAAATACAAGTGGTTTTGGAGCCAAAGGGACATTTTCGTTATTTACCCGTGTCTTGGCAATTCATGCCAAAATTCTGTCTAGCCAATTAGCAGTTCTCTCATTTTTATATGTTATTCGTTGCTAGAAATAGTTGGATCATAATACTTGACATTTCATAAAATCAATATATAAATTACCATGTTTTTTCTATTATATCTTTGATAGAGTAGTTAATTAGTCTTGAAAATATATATTTTGACCAACTTAAAAAAATTAATAAGTAATTAATATTCATTGGAATACTTTATACATTGATTAATTACTCTCTCCATTCACTATTATATAAAATCTAATTTTGAAAATAAACTCAAAAATTTATCAAAGCAATGGTACAAGCCTGCTTTCTTTTGGTTGAGCGTTACCTTTAGGGGACACCTTTGTCAAAATCTGAGCGAGGAACACTAAGGAGCCGTTTGGTTACTGTATAAGTTGCATTTTATCCATGTTTAAATAGTTGCATTACTTGTACCATATTTGGTAGAAAATTTGTATTAGGTGGAAAAGTCAACATAACTTATACCATGTTTGGTTGGTAGAATTCTAAATGTTATATAAAAGTTATTCATGTATTAATTTTATACGGTGTTTGGTTGTGTTTTTTGTAGTCATACATAATTAATACTCCCTCCGTTCACAATTGTTTGTCAGGGTAAGGTCATGCATATCACTCAAGCAAAATTTAATACAAGGTGTAATTTGACTAATACAACCCTACTATATCAAGAATACCAAAAGTTCACATAACTTTTCAATTGAACTATACAATCATTAAGGGCAGAATTGGAAAAAAGTGACTAATTATTTCTTGATTGTTTAAATTGACAATTAATCTTGGACATCTATTTTTAGTATACCTGCCAAACAATTGTGGACGAAGGGAGTACCAACATAACTTATGAGGGAATCTATGTATAAGTTATGCAGGGTACAAGGTGGAATAAGTTATGCAGGTATTAGTTAAACATGTATTAAAATAGTAAATTACACATTTACCCTAATTGATTTATTTTTAATTATTTTCATTGAAAACGTTGCCCAACTATACTATTTTCCTAACTTTTTTTTAATACACGAACAACTTCTTTTTTTTTGTTTTCATTTGAAATCCAAATGTAGTGTTTTATTAATATTACAAATTGAATTGTATATAGCGTTATATATTATTAATATATTCCACTTATTTAATTAACATGTATTATTATTTTGTTTAGGATGTGAATTTATACATAATTCATATATTTGGTATATTAAAACTGTATAAACAATATATACAACATATTGATAGGATATTTACATTATATAAAATAGGATATTATAATTTACTTGAAATATATCAATTGTATTTTATTTTTACAAGTTATAAACATAAAAAAATATTAAACTGAAAAAATAACAGTCCCAGTTAAGTATAGAGGGAGAATTTTTTTACTTTACCTTTTATTCAAAAAGAGGGAGAATTTATACTACTAGCTTACTTATTTATTTGTAAGTAATATATATTAATTTACAATAAATTCAATATTTATTAGTTAATAATTTATGCATTGTGATCTCTACATAACTAAATAATATATGCATAACTAATACTTGCATAACTAAACCCTGCATAACTAAACCCTGCATAACTAAACCCTGCATAACTAATACCTGCATATCTATACCCTACATAACTAATACCTTCATAACTATACCCTCCAGAACTAATATCTGCATAACTTTAACCAGTAACCAAACGACCCCTAAAGATATTAGAACTAATCCTAAACCCTAGTAGTCCCTATATAAGATTTCCTTACTCCCTCCTTACTCTCTCTCGTTTGAGGGTAGAGATTTGGAGGAAGAGCTGTGAGTTCAAAATTACACCGAAAATTATATAGGGACACTAAAGTTTAGGGTTACTTCTGATACCTTTGACATCCTCCACTAGGATTTTAACAAAGGTATAACCTTACGGAGATTGTCTAACAAAATGAAACATGCATGTACCATTATTTTGATATTCCACTTAAAATTCAACCCTAAAATTGTATTCGGATCAGTTATTGAGCACAAATTAACTGTTAATACTTAATTAAGGGTAATGAAAATGAACTTAACAAGATTTGCACATGTGCTATATTATTCTCGTAGTAAATGAAGATAATATACACAAGCGTGCACACACATATATTCTTGTTATGCACGTTCCTTCATTTGCGCTCTATGCTTAAATTTCCATCAAACATCAATGTTTTTGTACGCATTTTTTCTGTGACAACAATGCCTAATTCTAGGAATTCCACATTACAAACTCAATATACACTTCCATTCTGAGCACCAGTGTTAATCAGTGTCTTTCATTCATAAACATCACTGCAATCTGGAAGAGTTAATGCTCATGAAGCATAGTGTTATCATCAATTTCCAACTCCTTTCTCAATATATTACTCGTTCCTCCC